TGTACCAAATCCAAAAATAGGAGTGATCACTGGATTTTCTTTAGTTGCCGTTATACTAAATTGTGGATTAGCAGTTATTGGAGCAGGAGTGATCACTGGATTTTCTTTTGTTGTTACAGTTTGATTAATAATGGTAGTAGCAGCAGGTATAGGTATAGTTGATTCTTTTTCGACTGGTAATGTTGATTGAATCGCTGAATTAAAAGAAAAATAAACACAATGATCATTTCATATTTCATTAACATTACTAACCACTTAATTTTTTATAATTCGGATTAATACCATGACAAAGTGAACATGATGCTGTTTGTGCTGGATGTTCTTTAGTACATGAAGGACATTTCCAAATTGATTGAACAGATTGTAATGATGACATAGGAAGTGTTGATGATTTTGATATTGTATTAGAAGTTGTGTTTGTTTGTTGAAATACTGTTGAATTTGTATTAATATTTGATTTAGAAAGTACTAAAGAAAATAAGATTAATTAAATGAAAATTAGTTAAAAGAAATGACATACTTGTATCAGTACATTTTTCTGGATATTTTTTAGCATATTCTTCTTGAGCACGAGCAAATTTTGGCCATGAGAATGGTGTAACATCACCAAGTACCTTTAAATAAATTTTTAATTATTTATTCATAGTGTTTTATTTCTTACTTTAGGCTTTGTAATATCAATTTTTGGCAGTGATGTTTGTACTTTTTCAATTGTTATTGAACTATGTGTTTGAATTGATGAATCTGTTTGAGTAGATGATTGAGTTTTTTCAGTAATTGGTACTGATAATGCTTCATATTGAATATCAATTGGTGGAAATGCACGTTGAAGTTTTTTATTTGATTCTATTGAATTTTCAACATTTGAAATCTATGTAAAAAAAAAAAAAACAACAAAATAATTTTGATGAAATTTTCAAAGATAATTTACTTACATTACATTGAATACCACATTCTTTTTCTTGTACTTTTGTTCGAGTTAGTTCTGAAGAATTAGTTTTCAATTTGTGTTCATCAATTGGTGATATAGATAATCTTAAAAAAGAAATGAATGATTATAAATAGAAGTGAAGATAAATTTTGTTTTTTTTTCAATATTTACGGTTCATTATCAAGTGTACGATCAAGTCGTATACAATCTTGTAAAGTTCGTCGACGAAGTCTTTCAATATAAGGTAAACGATGTGAATTAATTGATGCATAATTAACACCAAACATTTTTCGTTCATTTGATAACTAAAGTTTTTTTTTAAAAAAAAAAAAGTAAAATATTTGAAAATTAAAATTTTGTTTTCTTACTAATCGATTTTTATTTGTTAATGTTGCTGATGATTGTTGACTATTTGATTTAGATAATTGAGGTCGATCTGTTAGACTAGTTGCTAGTAAATAATTTGCTGAAAATTCATTCGATTTAAGATTTGTTGTTGTTATTGTTGTTGTTTCCGTTTGTTTCTATACAATAAAATATTAATTTCCGTTATTGATGAAACTTGACATAGATATTCAACTCATAAAAGAAGAGCTAGGCAACTTTTTCTGTCCTCCGTTCACTTCTATCATGGAAGTGTACTAATAAAAAAAAAAAAATCTTTCTTGCTTCCATACTTTATCATTCAAGAGTTAAACTCCACAACAGTGGCGATGATACTTTAATTCTTTTGTAAGAAACTTTCTTTCTGTATGAACTGATAAGAGAAACAATGTTATATTTGCTTATGGTATTACATCATTCTTCTGCCTTTCAATGCTTAACCATCTATATATGTACATATTAGAGTACACAAAAAGTAGTACTATCAAGAAACAAGTTCATCAAGTTACATGGTGCCAGATCCATAGCATTATATTCAAGATTCCTGATGCAAGAAAATCAGTTGAAGAATGATATAACAAGGCAAGCAAATGGATCCTTGTCTTTTTTTTACTATCAACCCATATATGAAAGAAAATTTCTGCATATCTATTCAATATTGACGATTAATTAGAAAATTTCTTTTTCTCTCATTTCGAAGAGTATGCGCATATATCATCTATCGATAACGCAAAAAACCTATAACTCTCGAGAATGAAGCATAAATATATAACATGTCAATCGAAGTACTTGCTGATGTACAATAGATTATCTTCGTATGAGATATATCACGATAGCTGATAGTATCAACCATCGTTTATATGTTTTATTTTTATATTATTCAATAAGGCAAAGGGTTCTTTTTACGAAGAAGAAAAAGAAAATTTCCTTACTCTATTATCGACAGAAAAAAGAGGTGATTTTGATGGATCATAATTTGATGTTGATGTGATATTAAAACGTTGTGTAGATGATATAATTCGATTTATTCTTTCATTAGAATTTAGTTCTGTAGATGTTGTACAATGAAGTCGACGATTTGATAATGAACTAATACTATCTGTTGAATCTATTCGAATAAATAATAATAATAATGATTAAGAAAAAAAAAAAAGAATTGAACTTATACTTGTTTTTTCATTTTCATGATGACGATTGTTTGTATGTATCTGTTGATAATTAGTTGTACGACGTCGTTTTTTTTGTTGTTCGATTTCTTTTAAATCTTGTTCAATTGATGATACATCCTGATTATTATTATCGTCATCATCAGTAAATTGTGATTCATCGTCTCTGACAGGTTGATGAAGATCTGAGTTTACAAAAAAAAAAAAAAAAGATTTAAATCATATATTATTAATATAAATGATTTTCGTATATTTGAATTCTCTTACATTTTGATTTTGATGCTATAATTTGATTTTTTATTGTAGTAGTTGCAGTTGTCTCAATTTGTTGTTCATCATCTAATTCTTCAATAGATATTTGTCGTTTTCGTTTCTAAAATGAAATTGCTAATGAATTAAAAAAAACAGTTTGTGAACATTTTGTTGACTTACAGGACTATCTATTTCATTATTACTAGCTGTGAATAAAAACGATGGTTGAAAAAATTTCGAAACAACATCTTTGACTTTATGCATCATACTCTAAAATTAATAAATATTAAATAAATCTAGACTTTTAAATATTAAATAGCAAACCTCATTTTGTCTATTAACTGATGAATCATATTCTGATTTAGGAACAAAATTAGAATGATCATAACGATTAGCAAGAGATGACATTATTTAAAAGCAAACTTGATTAAACACAACAAGCAAACAAATGTGTCACAAAATAATCAATAAAGCTAACAAATTTATAATCATACTTACATTAGAAAAAACCAAAATTACAACAGTAAATCAATATATGAGCTAAAGAATGAAATTACAAAATGAGACATTGAAATATAATTTTGTCGCAATAAATAAAAAAAAATATGAGTCACTCTCAACCACTAATGATGTTACATTATTATTGTTGTCTTGGGAAATAAAATCCAATATAACGAAAAAATAATACGACTGTGAGATACATTACGGACATTAATAAAATAGATTGTAGAGTTATAATTTAACTAATATTCAAATTATTATATAACTAAATTAGTACCACAATAATAGCACAAAAAAAAGAGAATTATTGATGCTTAATTTATAGATGTCGCCCATGTCTTAAAAGATGAATTGATAGGTTCTTTAGAAGAATGCTGGTTGGTATGCATACGGGCTGGTTTCGATAGCAAAACCTCCGGAAATCGTGAACTTCAATTGTGTTCGGACTTCGGTATCATTGACCTGGCTGCAGAAGATATGGATTAATAGAGTAACTTAGCTAATTCAAGATAGAAACTAGTCACAGCAATGTGAAAAACATAAACTTCGTTCTCTATCAATCGCAAAATAGTGATCTATGTAAAAATGATGCATGAAATCTTTGAATTATTGTCTTCAGTTAATTATTTGATGTTGGACTAGTACTTATGATCTATGAAAAATGATTTTCTGAAGAACTATTTGTAATTGACAGTATTTATGTATACGATTGACAATTTATGCTAAATGTGAATTAAGTCTTGATGTCTAAAAAGTATTTCTATTTAATATTTTTATAATAAAGAAATATACTTGTTTTGTGTTTGAATGATTATGAAAAGTTAATGGTGATACAGAAAATTAGCATCACATATACACTACTGTTCTAATCAATTTCTATCAATAATAGATGCATGTGAGTTAAATGATCGTTGCGTTTGTGCTGATGAAGATATTTGTTGTTAATCATCTATTATTGGTTCAATTGAATGCAAATGTATTGTTTAATGGGCGAATATGAACAACATCCATATCATCTTGTTCCTCTCGATTTCTAGAAATTTGTTCCATATGTATTGCTGGACGTTGTGTAATAGTTAAGAGTGTCATTAAACAATGATGATTAAGAGGAAGCCCAATAGGTAAAATACTTTGATCATGTTCATTATTTTGTTCATCAGAACGAATTATTGAACGATTATAATGTTGTTGTTCAAAAGAACTGCTGTTTAATTTTAAATAGTCTATTTTTACTCCAAGCATACTTCAAAAATTATGACTAGCACTGTAGAGAGAAAAACTCCGATTTTGTAAAGATTTGAAGACGATCATCGTTGTTGAGTCATACGTTTACATGTAACGTTTGATCACTTCGATATTCTTTTATGCACTTTATGCTTGGTTTATAATTTATGATAATCCGAATCAATTACCTAACACAGCCTGATTTTTAAATTTTTTAGAGTTCTTTCTTTTAAAACGTTTTTCTGCTGAAATATGGAAAAATTCGTCTGTTTTAAGTTGTATAGCTGACTTTTTCCTTCATGTTGACACGAAGTACAGCGCTCTAGCATTTCTAACGTTGAAGAATTCTGTGACACGCGAAACATCGAAACGAAAAATTCTATTTTGAGAAAAACTTCTAAAATGTATTAGAGATCATCCATAAAGAACATCCAGGCAAAAATCGCATTTTTGGACCCCCTGTCCAGGTTTGCCCAGTTTCAGGAAGCCCCCGCTTCTGGACGTCCAATACAAAAAAATTTTAGTAGCTTGTTGTGGTTGTTTAAAATATATCTCAACGCTCAGTCTAACACTGAGGCTAACCTTGAACACACCTGTCAAAACCTTGACTTGACATTTCACCGCTTAAATCATAGTTCGAGGGAGCAATTTATTACTAAACCTAAAGGAATTTTCAGATAAGTAGGTCATATTCGGACTTGGTGATAAACTGTAAAACGGTTATGGCAATCAATCGATATGATTATTAATAAATGGGTGGGTGTGGGTGTGGATGTGTGAATGTCGCTGTGACTGCGCGGAGTGAGTGTGCGTGCCATTATTCGGATCATGTCTACACCCATACATACCCCTAAGATGTACTTACATTTACGTCTCCGATGAACTCTTGGATAAATTACAAATCCTTCCGTAGAATAGCTGCACTTTTCTAACTGTCAATAATTATATTCACGAAAAAATCGTAAATGAAGATGAGCTCTGTTTTTTTGTGGCGCAGTATTGAATGATGTCCACGACCTAACTTTATACAGATATACATATTGCTGTGCCTATTCTATTTGAAATGAACTTTCTTATATGATAATGATTTTTTCCCTTGGCTTTGTTTAGTCGTAGTATACTTCTAACCTTGAAGGTTTTACTTTTGATAAGTAGTATCGTTCTCAACAAGATGCGTAGTTGAAAAATATTCAAACAAACCAAAAAAGGATAAGATAAGAAAAGTAACATACGAAGTATTTTAAGAAAAAGAACAACCGGCGTCAAATACACCATATAACCTTAAATCGACAACCGCGCACCATCGAAGTTTTCACGACTATTTTGGTGAAAATCATTGGACTGTGGTGAGTAGCTTAGTCGGATAATTTGAATAGAAAATCAAATTCATTTAAAAATCATGGACATGTTGCAGATAGGATTGAATTATTAGAAAGGATGGAAATAACGTGGAATCGAAACTAGTGACCAATTTTTGCTATAGTAGATTAGCCAATAAATATGTTTTACTTAGCTGTTTGTTGGCTGAATTCTTTGCATTCATTTCACGCTTGTTTTTTATTTTCATAAGTGTCAATTCTAATGTTTTAATTATAGTCTATATCATTACTGAATTTTCTCTTTGTTTTATTTTATTCGTCACGGTCACTTATTCAAGAGACTATGATCAAGCTATCAGTATAACGTAATTACAAATTTCATCAGAGAAATTATAAAATTGATGTTATTAAACTTCTAAAATATGGCTATAAATGTCAAGCTTCGAATAATGCAGGAAGCTGTCAGGACGACGACTATTACTTTTTCGTATAAAGCCACAAGTCTGGTTGAGAGAAAAATCTGCTACTGACAGAGCAATTTCTCACAGTGTGAAAAAAAAGACTTCGAAGCTTATAGCAATGAGTGAGACTAAAGATGAATAGCTTCAAACCAGATGAAGACTTTGTCATTTAAGAGCAAACGGCGTTGTGGCACACATAAATACATTAGAATGAAAAAAAATGCCTCCTAAGATAGCCCTCCGTGAAAATGAGAGCAGACAGCTTTGGTGTCAGCAAATCTGTCAGGGTAAGGGTGAAAAGAGCGAGCGCGCACAGTAATGCTTAATGTTGAGGCAAAGCACTAGGTGCAACAGCTATGCATTAGGATGAGATCAAATAGCACTAGACCATACAGCAACACATGAGGATGAGTCCAAAAAGTTTTCGGCTTCACGGGAGTGCATCATCTTCCATTCACAAAGCAACGCACAAGTATCAACATAAAAACTTTCTTTGCCAGATCTCATTAAATAATATTTATGGAAAACGTTGTGTACCTCAGAGCATTGCTACAAGGATAATAGAACCCAAAAAGTTGCGGGTCTTACATGAGTGTCTCAGGCACACGAGAAAAAGATTAAAGGTATACAACAATTCGTACCAATGAAGGGGAATCTCTACGCCGACATATATTCTTGCTTCCGAGTGCGAGAAAAGCCTTCGAATCTCGGAATAATGTCTCAGTCTTAAGAAAGACATTTTCTAGTCGCAAAGCTATATATAAGACACAGAGCGAAAAGTATCTGACGATCTGACAAAGCGCTATAGAGAGGACAGAATGATTCACGCCACATAAAGGGTGTGGGAGGATCAGGGCAGATGTATGAGTGGATGTAGCTGTTATTTTCATCTACACCCACCTACATCTATATCCTTTAAAAATGACGATATTCTTAAAAGACTTGGATAGCAAAATATGAGAATCACGAAAATACAGTTTTCTAAACGGATTGCAAGCTCTGAAGTTACGTTTTGACAGATCTGACAGGAAAAACTCTGATACAATCAGTAAATGAAATAGTTTTATCTTCAAAAAATAGATCTTCCTCGCCTTAAAAAGTGACTGGAACAGCATTACTTTCAGGCGATCTTGTTTTTCCTACATGTTTGTCAATAATACTGCAACAAAAAGAAACACAAACTAATAATTATATCAACCTGCAAGCGATCCATTCATCCTTGATATTGGTGAACAGCATAATGTCACCAATCAAAGTTTTCAGTATCATAATAATTAAATCATGGACTATTGCTAAAATTTCAGATTTCTCTGAATAATTGCTATCTTTCAAAATGGTCTCGCTATTTAATACAGACACAATGTACAAATGTAGTTGAATACACACCTATTCATATGGATAGGCTGAGAAGAAAGACTTAAAGGATAAATATCGAATAAGGAGTCAGATATAGGTTACGGGTTAGAATACAATGATAGATATAGATTAAGGCATTATTATAAGGAGATATGTATAGAATAAGGATTTGGATATAGATGAAGAGATTAGTGTAACGAATGAGATGTGAATTGAGGAGTGTAATTAGATGTTACAGTAGGTCATCCACAGATCTATATGGGCCCGTTGATTTCAATATAGATCGATTGGTGTTGCATTAGAATTAGTACGAAATTTTGACTACGAAACGATTTCTCAGGTAAGACCAAAGTGGTTTTGTACGAAACCATAATTTAAGAAACTTTAAAAGGTGCCGATTTCATTGGAAAAAGCGAAACCTTTATTAAGTTCGATACGGTACTGTTTTCTGTGCGCTGGTCATGGCCTCCCAGATCGTGACAGATGTTCCCTTTCCCATGAGAGATGGCCTCTCGAAGCTACCAGTGATCATGTTTCACTAACACCT